TAATAAGGCATTTTCATTCAACATGAGTTTTTTTATAAATGTCAATTGATGTTCAACATTTTTTTTACCAATGACGTAATCTCCACATAGAGGAAATAAATTTGGTTTTGAATTTTATTAAAGTATCCTTTCACGTACGTACGTATCAAAAATTTTCATTCCATCAAAATTGATTGAGGCGTGTAAGCGTAAAGGCAACAAACAGACAAAGACATGCTGGAGTTTAAAATGTTAGAGTAGAAGATGTTATTTCCGAAAGAGCAATATTTAATAAGAACGTGTGGGTGTACTTATTTATGTACGCACGTAAGAAGTTATATTTCTTTGGCGTAACAGAACAAAAATAGCTAAAGACTTCATCCCGTAAACTCTCTGTTTGTAAAAGGAATGCAGCTAACTTCATCATGTCGCTTTCAGCTAACTTCATCATGTCGCTTTTTGGCTGTCGGTGTGCGCGCGCAGCGTAAAAATTTTACTCTCATATTTTTTCCAAGCATGTCAAAAGAAGTATAACTTCAAAAAAAATTAAAGATTAATTTAACTAACGTTACATGTCAAAACCATCAAACAGCGAAAAGTTGCTTACATGGGATAGGTGCTAGACATGAACGTTACCAAGTGCTGCAGACTATTATGGTGGGCAAAGTTGCAGGTTAGAGAACTGTTGGTAGAAGAATAAGGCTTGGCTTTGCAATATCGGACAATGGACAGGGATAAAGAGAGTTGAAGATCTGTTCGGGCTAGCCTTGAACTAAGAAGAATTTTGGAAGATGACTGCCAACTTTTAGTAATATTAGAGAGTAGCTTGAAGAAAAAGAAGAATGATATTATGGTTATATTTATCTTCCATATATCTACAATCTGTGTCACAATTCTGATGTAGATTTGTTTACAATTGTTGTGTACAATAAAGTGCAGTAAGTTACGCAATTTATATACAAAATATTCCCCCGATCCTACGGGAACTTCTTTTTCTTCTTATTTCTAATTAAAACATTTTTTGAATAATTGAGAATTGTTATAAAACTAAGAAATAGTAAGTACAAACTATAAGCTTGCACGTACCTATGTAATAATTTCTACATCTTAATAAAATTTTGGTTTTATTTCTATCGACTATATCATAGCTTTCGCGTGTTTGTACGTAGTAGTTTACAGATAATATAGGAATTTTCATAAAATTATCATCGTATGTTTTTGTTTTCTGCGGAACCCCTTTAATAACTAAATGTACACAAAATAATTTCTTGAGTGTTAAGTTAAAAAAAAATAAAAAAAAAACAAAAATAACATTTATATCAAAGTCGATGCAATAGTTTTCTCAAAATTCTAGACTGTTTATAAAATTATTACTACTTGATTTCATTTTTACAGATTAAAAGTATATTATTAATTTACATGTCGCTGGTGCCTATATGTTGCTAGCTTGGGTACACTTACAGTTTAAATACAGTTAAAATTTTATCCAAATCCGTCCAGTAGATTTTACGTGACACATTAACAAAAAACAAACATACCCATGCATAGACACACATTTTATTAAAAAAAACTTTTCTTTTAATGAAGAAGATTTTTAGAACAGACACAATCTATGTATGGTTTCATTACAAGTATATGTATATATATCACTAATATAACTAAAGTAATTTTTAACAATGAATCATTTGTTAGATTTTACTCGTAAATTATACTAGAAACCAGACATTATTGTCAGATCATCTATAATTTCCGCGCTTCACTAAAACGAGTTTTATAAGCACTTTTTATATGTATAAATGTGCTTAAAGCTTGTAACCTATTGACATATTTAAAAAAAAACTGGTACGAGTATATAAAGTTATGCATAATGAATAATAAATCATGACAGGACAGGAATGAATTAGGACTAATAATAACTAATCAATAACGTTAGGTTAAGTACTTAGTCATATATTAATCCATCCCGGGGGAGAAGCCAACTCCTACCGGGCGCGTCCCCAGGTGGCGGATAGGGGAATGCCACCCGCTTAGGGCGGCGGGTGGTACCGGAGATATCCGGCGCGGACCAATGGCTTGGATGGGGCCGCTCGTCTAGGCCTCGAGCCGAAGACGTTGCGGCCACCGGTGGTGGGACCGCTTGGTCCCACAACCGGATGATGGGTGCCGGTTGCGGGACTGTGGTCGCAGGCCCGCATCCGGCGGAGGGGTAGGCCGCGGTGGGAAAGGAGTGCCGGTATTTCGGTGCGCCGTTCTCCCTACCTTCCGCGGCCTAGACGGGGCCGCCACCGTTTGATGGCGGACGCGGTGGGGCTGCTGGGGAAGAGGAGTGTCGGTGTTTCGTTGCCGCTCTCCCTGTCCTCTGCAGCCGATTGGAGGTGGCCCACTTCGGTGGGCGGAGGTTCGGTTTTATGGAGCTGCTCCGGGTACCTCTCTGGTGTAGCAGAGTTGACTGTGGAGCAGCCCCATCGGTGTGGTGGTCAGCCGTTGGCAGACCTGCCGCCGGGGCGCCGTAGTAGTTATGCGCAAGCGATCCTGCGGCGTCCCATTAAGGCGGAGGGGAGGGGAATGTCGGGTTTTAGTGGGTAGTACCGGCTCTTCTAGCCGGTGAGCCCCACATCACCACCTGGGGGATCAGGTGGTATGCGTAAATGCATTTCCCGACATAAAAATATATATATATCTATATATATATATATATATATATATATATATATATATATATATATATATAATTATATATTAATCCATACTAATATTATAAATGTGAAAGTGTTTGTTTGTTTGGTTGGTTGTTTGTTTGTTTGTTTGTTTGTTTGTCTTTCTTTTACGTCAAAACGGCTTGGTGGATTGGCGATTTTTTGTGTGGAGATAGTTGGAGGGCTGGAGAGTGACAAAAGCTTTTTACCGCGGGAGATTATCTCTTTCCCATGGGAAAACACGTTATAATAAAATCCAAATATTATTTTTGATCAGATATCTTGAAACTTAGTATAAATGCTCTTTAATACAATTCATTAAATACATGTTTCAGTATTTTTCTAAATTCATCCCATAAGAGGGAAAATAGCGGATGAAAGTTTGTATGAAACGTCCCATTTTAGAGCTTTTTTTGTAGTTTTAGCGCGAGCGAAGCCGCGGGTTCTGCTAGTATTTTAAATAAATGATTTGTTCCTTTCCCAGGGCTTAAATCTAAACATATAATAAAGTTGTAACGAAGCCGAATTTGTACATTAAATATTTTTTGGAAAATTTTATTGAAATAAACATTATTATCGATACATAGGCCGAATCTATAGATTTTAGAATTTTTGTCTGTCTGTCTGTTACCGCATCACAGAAAAACCACTGGAGAGGTTTTGATGAAATTTGGTATGGTGATAGCTGGTTATCCGGGCCAACATATAGGATACTTTTTACCGCGGGAAAATGTCTCATTTCTATGAAAACATACAAAAACTGCAATTTTAGAGTATACTAATATGTAAAACCTAAGAAGAAGTTTTTGGTCATCTAAACGCGGGCGAAGCCGCGGGCAACGCTAATCTTATATATTTATAATGACCATGCTTAGACATTCAAAATAGTTTTTAATAATCGCCTTTGTACTCAATATTTTTATGTTAAATCCTTTAAACTTTTAACTGCCTCGGTGGTCTAATGGCTAGCATGTATGGCGCAGATCCGGAGATCCTGGGTTCGAGACCCGAGTCGCGTCAAGTTTAGATCTTGAGTATTTTTATCAAGACATTCTCAGTGACAGCCCAGAGTTGGGGAGTTCGGTGTTTCACCTCCGTATCTCAGAGAGCACGTATACGCACGTATAGGGTACACCAATTTGCCCATTGAACATACAATATAATTAAACGGTAAATTCCTTAGCAATACTTTAATGCTACTAAATCCGTATAGATATTTTGATTTATGGTCAATACAAATTTATTTCCTCAGGATACGTTCTTGAACTCTAAACTTTCTGAGTCAGAAGAAGAGCCACTCAGACATAGTCCGCTACGTAAAATCCTATTAAACCTATGACATTTACGTTATTTTAATATAAACCAGTATCTTGTTCGTTTCTACGAGAAATGTATTAAAAAACAAAGAACGCCCTTGCATTTAGATAGCTTCTTTATTAAATTACTTAGATCGATTTTTATGCATAATTTCAGTTACACTTGTAGATGATACTGTATATGCATTATGCATACAAATTTACACTCACGCTAAAAATTTAAGCTAGCATTTAAGAAAATATATATTCATTTTTATTTCACGGTTATATTTTAAAAAAGGCTTTTACGGTATACATTTCGTAAAAGTTCTATTTTAAGGATAATATGAAAATTAAATTGGCAAAAGTTGCAATATACTAAGAATTATTCTGTTTCAACACCTGAAACTACCTGAAATGCTCCACGTTTTTGTAAAAATTTAAGTTAATATTTGACATATTAAATGAAACTGTCTTTTGACATCTATATAAATAAAAATGAATGTTGGTAAGCGCATAACTCAAGAATGGCTAGACCAAAATTTTTCGTTGTTCCTTAAGGTTTAAATAAATAATAAGGTCTTAATAAAGAGAAAAAATGAAAAATTAACGAAAAAAAATTATACGGCTAACGCTGGCTAATAAAACTATTTATATGTATTTAAAACGTACCTAGTTAGCTAGTTTTAAATAAAACTGCCTGTCAAAGAACATTGAAGCCAAAGTGTAGAAGTCTGACAAATCAGTACCACATAAAGGATAGAGCCCTAAAAATATTAGAAGAAGTAGTATTTTTATCCTTGTGTAGTCAGTTCACAATAATAACTTCATAATGAAACAACCATGTAAAAACCAACGTATCATGTTCACCTTGTAAAAAATCAAATCATATTGAAGATCAGCATCTATGTTGCAAAATAATGCAAATGCCGATATAAAGAACCATAATCGAATGATTCCACCGGGTATAAAACGCGATTCGTTTATTTTATAATCACAGTTACACGTCGCCTGTTAACTTTGACACATCATGGTGAGTGGAATCCAGCTATGCGTTGTTCTAAGGACATTCGTGCCTACATTCATATTTATCGTCTCTTGCTTATATTTATATCTAAATCTCTTTTTTTATTTACAACTAGCTTTGCCCGCGGCTCCGCTCGCGTTCAGATGACCAGAAATCAAATTCTTAGGTTTTAAACTTTAACGTATTAGTAAAGTCTTACATTGCAGTTTTTGTATTTTTTCTCAGAAGTGAGACATTTTACCGCAGTAAAAAGTTCCTATCATCATACCAAATTTCATCGAAATCCCTCCAGTGGTTTTTTTGTGATGCGGTAACAGACAGACAGACAAAAATTCTGCAAACTATAGATTCGGCCTCTGTATCGATAATAATGTCTATTTCAATAAGATTTTCAAAAAAATACTTAATGTACAGATTCGGCTTAGTTACAATTTTATTATATGTATAGATAAATGGTAGTAACAGTACTTTAATATTTCATATTTTTATTTATTTTAATAACATATATTAAATTCTTTCTAACAGATCTCTCACTTATTTTAACTATTATTAAAAATCAATTTTTTATAATCATTAACTCAGCTTCGTCTCCAGCTTTAATTAACATTTAACTGAACGCTTTCAACATCTTAATTTTCTTTAATTTACTGTTAATGATTGTAGCAGCGCTTTAATATTTCATTTTTTTAAACATACAAGGGAACTGTAATAAATCATTCTAACATCAACAACAACGTCTTTATCAAGTAAGATTTAGTAAAAGTAGCATCCATAACCAAATTTTAACTTTGCTAAATTTTAACTTAATTATTATTTTTTACTTTTTGCTAAGTTTATATTAAGAGTTTTATCCCAATATTTGCAGAAATACTTCGTAGCCATCCTCGCCCTTGTGGCCGTCGCTGCTGCTGATGTATCCCACCTCCGGTCTCCTGAGGCCGACGCCGTCATTGTCAAACAGGACGCCGACGTCTTTCCTGACGAATACCAATACGCATACGAAACTAGCAACGGAATCATCGCCCAAGAGAGAGGAGTCTTAAAGAATGCTGGACGTGTGAGTATTAGTTACAAAAGAACCATAGACTTTCCAATATACTAATTACCTAAGAATGAGACCTTAATCTACCCTAATGATTTAAAGTATCCCATGTCATTTTCTGTAAAATGAATATTTTTTGTTTAGATCACATGGGCCCCATAGGTTCGTAGTGACTTTGATTTGAAGTTTGAGTTTTCAAGGAATGAAAAACAAACAAACATATTCTCACACATAATATTAAGTAAGGTTTAATTACCAGAGGATGGTGAGGTAGAGATAGTAGTAAGATAATTTAATAAATTTTAAGTTTAAGTTAATTTAATATTAGAATCAGTCGAAATGTTTACGTAAGACATGTTTAAGTGATATATTAATCTATAATTAAGCATCTAAAATTATTCAGATTGGATTTTTTTTTGTGAGATAGAGGATGGTAAGGAGGCGGCAATAATATTAATCAGTATATCGCCGAGGTCAAATTGAGTGACATTTATTAAGCAGATGAACTGGTTGTCGAAACATGTATATACATAAATTAAAACAAGCAACCTTGATATTTCATTCAAGGTCATGTCATAATATACATAATGAAGTAAAATAAATACCTTAACAAATTACAACTAACACTATATAACTGCGTGATCGTAAGTTTACATTTTTCCTTGCCAAATGCTTAAATTAGGAAAAGTTGAATATTAAAACAAAACCATGTCCTTTTAAAGTAAGCTGATTGATTTATTGGTTGTTCTATCAATATGTATTTAATTAAAGTTTTCTATGACAGGAGGATGAAGGTCTCGAAGTGCAAGGTAGCAACGCCTACACCGGCCCTGATGGTGTAAGATACGAGACGAGATACATCGCCAACGATGGTGGATACCACGCCGAGGTAAATTGAAAGATTATATGATTATTAGTTGTTTTACAGCTTACATTTTATAAAGGAAAACTTTACTTTTACAAGCGACTCACCCTCGCTTCGCTCAAGTTCATTTCTAGATACGTTTTAACGGTTGTTATGGAATAGATATTCGATCCCTGTGCAGAACAAAAACAAATCTATCCCACAGGAACAGAACATTTTTCCGGGATAAAAAGAAACCTATGTGCTTTTCCAGACTCTAATCTATCTCTTTGCCAAATTTCATCTAGATACGTTCAGCCATTCTGTCGTAATTAAGTAACAAACATCCATCTATCCACACTTTCATATTTATAATATTAATGGGATTTATAAAATTATTTTGTTGTAATATGATGTTGAGAAATTTAGTCCTTTGACGGTATTCAAAATTAGCCCAAGCTTCTTGCATATCTGAACATACGAAACAGAATTATGTAGGACCAAGGGTGTTTCGCTATTTAAGAATAAGCAGAAAGTGCTTAATCATTTTTGAGCTTATCACCCTCTCTGCAATCATCACCGGCTTACACGCATGCCGTACAATTATATGATAAACACAATAATCGTTTCCACAGGGTGATCACCTCCCCGTTCCCCCGGCAATCCCCGAGTACATCCTCAGAGCCCTCGAGTACATCAGGACTCACCCACCCAAGGCTGATAATTGAGGCCATAATTTTAGTACTTAAGATATCGCTACACACTGCCATACATTTGTTATTTTACCTCTAGTCGCGTTTGTGATGAAGCAATAAAAGGTTATTTCAAAATATTGTATTATTTTTACCCCCTAAAATTATAATTACTTCGGTAAAGGTTATAAAAATCAAAAGTAATGGCTTCAAATAGAAAATGTAAAAGTATATTTAATATATATTAAATTTAAATATTATTTAGCTTATGTCATGGACATAAAACATGGCATTTGTTTGACTGAAAATTTAACGCTAACATAATTTAAGTTGAATTGAAAAAAAATTTAACTTAAAACTTAAAAATATCACTGGATATTCTGGATAGTGTTCTATGTGTGTGTGTGTGTGTGTGTGTGTGTGTGTCATTCTGATGTATGAGCTATATTATTGTAAAGTTTCATTAAAATCCATTTAGTAGTTTTTGTGTGAAAGAGTAACAAACATCTATACATCCAGATATCCAGACATCCATACAGCCTCACTTTCCTTCATAATATTTAGCCTTCGCCTTTATAATATTAGTAGTATTAATAGGATGACAGGATAAATTTCATTCATTTAAGTTTTGATGATGGAGATTAAAGAGAAGATGGTGGATATTGTAATAGTTCAACGGCTTCTAGCAAAGCTGTCGAGCTTGGTTTTCTTTGATTCGTTTTGATGAGTCTCATACATTAGAATTGGTCAAAAACATCTACCTGATTTTAAAAGCTACAATGAATTTACTACAAGCTTTTCACTTCAGTATATGAACATTGAACAAGGCTTATTATTTAACATTCACTACTTTGTTCATCCCGTATTATTATCCCGTAAGCATTTATTACTCTAGTTACTTAGTTCTTTATTATCCTATTGCCCTAAAAAGACAAACAATATTTTTACTACATATGTACATACTCGTTTGTATGTATGTATGGATGTCTTAATCTGATTTTTAAATACAACTATTTATATGTGAAACTGAACTTTTTTATTCAATTCAATTTAATTCTATTGTTGTGCTTCAGAGCACAGATTACTTCGCCAATTGCACATGGAATGGAGTAGACATGAAGGATATGGTCGGTAAACAAAGATTATTAAACTATGTTAATTATAATGTGTAGAAAAAGGGTAAAATCTTTATAAATCTTGGATCTCCAACAAAAGACAGCATAATTAATACAAACATATAAAACTTAATTAACAATAAGTGGTAAGCAAGTTATAATTATTCGACAAAAATGTTAGTCTCTAGTCTAATTCCATTACATATATTTATAAAAAAAACTCAGAGGACTAAACACAAACATTGATAAACAATTAACATCAATGAGACGGGGTACTTTGAGGGGAAACACATCATAAATAGGATGGAGGATTCTAGGACAGCCAAAAACGATACAAATAAATAAATATGTTGGGATATTAACACACAGCACCATCTAGTTCCATGGTAAGCTACGAGGCTTGTGTTATGGATACCAGATAGTTGATACACTACACATATATAACTTTAAATATATACCACCACAAACTAAGCCAAATGTCTCGTCGAGAAGGAGTAACTTTATCAAAGCCACATTCGTATAGGGAATGATCCCTGACCCGAATCTTCGCTAGGTGAACAGGTCAACTTTTTCATTATTAAAGATTAGCTAATTTATATTCGTTGAAAATGCTATAAATGTCACGCTATGTCGTCATCATGGTGAATTAACCGAAAACTGACTGTAACGACTGTGTATATTTGTTTTCATAAAGTGTGTATTAATTAAAACTTCAATACTCATTGTTTACAAAGGAATATAAAAGTATTTTGTTATTAAGGTTCTAAGGCGAGGCGAGTATCTGAGAGCTCTAGGCACTGTTCCACTTAGGACTGAAGTGGCCTTACTTCACGTTGTCCCGGGTCGGTACCTATAGGTACAACACGAAGTAAAGTTTTTGAAAAATACACATTATTTAAGAATTATAGGGTCTGGAGATGGGTTTTATCTTGTTATGACAAGCATATCTTTTATACGGTATTTTTTTGTATATTTTAATTATACATACTCGTAATCTCGACCGTAAAAAAATAATAATACTAACATGATATGAGGATCTGCCTGAGTTTTTATTCCTTGCAATTAAATGCAAGTTTTATTTTTTCTAATAATTGGAATACCTAGATCACATGTTACTTATATCATAATTAGATATACACACGGGATTGAAGCTAAAAAAAATTAAAACCGAAACCATCGTTTATTAATTTTAGATGTTTACTCCTTTGCGCTGAAATGGATTGATTTGCATGAAATTTAGGAGAATGTGGCAACGCTGGTCTACCAAGGCAGAGTATAATAACCAAATTGATTCTCCCACGATCCATTCTAGTAGAGTACCAGCAACCTGCATCGGCACGGCTTACCAAGAAATATTCCTTGTCCTACATAAAAATGGGATAAATAATTATAGTTGGAAAAAAACTATTTATAATACACTTTTGATGAAATTGAAATGTATGAAACTCATCAAAACGAACCCAGATTCAAGGGGGTTTCAGTGTATAAGTCCAAAAAGAATTCCTCCGCCTATTACTATCCACCGACTGCATCATCACATCAGCACCAAATACCAAATTATTTCCAAGCTTTGGTGACTTCCTGGTGAAGAAAGTAAAACCGTTTTAGTAAAAATATCCATATGTTACCTAATCGTTAGAGGTAAGTAATAATAAATTTGTAGGTATGTGAGAGGGTCAAAGCTCTCAGACCTTCAATTTATTTCCATATAAGTATGTATTAATTCGAATTCTATTTGTCATAAACATTAAAGAAGAATATATTATATAATATTCAGTTAAATGATAATTATAAAATAAATACAGTTACAATTTGTCGTGTATTGCTCGTGGCAATTAAATAGGTTTATATAATAAACGTATTTATAACGTAAATTAAGGTAATGAGAGGGTAAATATACGTACTCATAATGGCTCCATTGCATCAAAGGACTGTTTATCGACGGGGCTTGTAGGAGGGAAAGCAAATATTACCCCAAAACCAACAAGCTGCGCGTGATATAATTTATCTCAGTGCCTAATTATCATCCAAATTTATGTTAAGTATTGCACGAATACAGTAAAAGTTCACAAATGTTATTATTGTGTTGCGTTTTTATCTTAGTTCTCTTTGTAAATTTGTTGCCATTTGTTTCGTAAATGAATTAACATAATATTATGTACTAGCATTGCCCGCGGCTCCGCCCGCGTTCAGACGACCAAAAACTAAATTCTTAGGTTTTACATATTAGTATACTCTTACAATGCAGTTTTTGTATTCTTTCTCAGAAATGAGACATTTTCCCGCGGTAAAAAGTATCCTATATGTTGACCCGCATAACCAGCTCTCACCATATCAAATTCATCAAAATCCCTCCAGTGGTTTTTCTGTGACGCGGTAACAGACATACAGACCGACAAAATTCTAAAAACAATAGATTCGGCCTCTGTATCGATATTAATGTCTATTTCAATAAAATATTCCAAAAAATATTTGATGTACAGATTCGGCTTAGTTACAATTTTATTATATGTAGGTATAGATTATAAATAAAGAATTTATAAAATCTATACAGACAAGAAAATTATAACTAAGCACGTATTTACTTCATTTTTTTCTAATAGTCACAATATAATCGACACAGATACCAAATCTACAGATTTAAATTTTTGTCTGCCTGTTTGTCACGAGTTTTCTCGTAAGAGGACGGATTTTAATAAAATTTGGTGTGGTGACAGTTAATTAATGGGTTTAACATATAGATTACTTTTTCATTAAGAAATAGTATAAAGAAGAACTTATTTTCGCAGTGTGTATTTTGTAAACCTAAAAATTTTATTTGTCCATTAGCCTACCAAAATATTTAAAAACAACATAATATTTGTATTTATAGAACATTCGAAGCGCGAGTCATACTCCCACTTGCTTATTTTTATATTTAAAGATCAGAGCAAAAATATATGTAAAAACTTTTTCACTTAAAAGTCGTTTCAACCAACTAAATATTATTAATACCTAACATATAAAGAAAAAACTTTTGTTTTTTTTTGTAGTTTGACCGTCAAAGCTAGTGTTAAATGAATGCGGAGGTGTTTTATCGATGTCTTTGTGTTGCAGCAGAGACTTGGACTAGATACAGTTTGTGTTGCGATACCTTTGCATTTTATTAAAGTATTTTATTTTATATATTATAATAGGCATTATTACATTGCGCAAAGTAAATGAAAACCCCTTATGGTATAATTACTGAGGCCCGAGCGAGGGTTGGTCGTCAGTTTGATATTATAATAAGTATGAATAAACGTTCCGGTACAGTGTACTTATGCGTGCGATCTATACTGCAAACTACGCTCGAGATCACATGTTCGATTCTTACAGTTATATTTTTTTATTGAACATCTGTTTTAATCCTGGTTTGATTATCATTACAACACGACATAAATTACCCGCGGTAATATTATCACGCAGAGTATTAGAAATAGAGTAAAGCAAAAACTAAGTTCTCATAATACTTTTTTAGATTTATGCGAATATTTGAGATTTTGCTGACCCGAGACAGTCTCTCCCGTGACCATGAATTCTGTAAAGCATTTGAAACGTCGGGAACCAAAAATCGAAATAAATCCGCGAAAAAATCCGAAAAGATAGTTTTATTTTAAAATAACTAAGTTCTCTCCAAGTTCTCTGTAATAAAAAGGTAAAGTGCATCAGCAAACATGGAAAACATAGGTATTTGTTTCAGCGGCCAATTTCATTGAGCTAGCCATTTGTGCTCTCATAAGTGCACTCTCCATTCCTTTCATTCTCTAAGTTCGTTGGAGCGATTACAATTAGACTCTACCGATGAAATATTAGGCGCAGGATTCTACTTATATGTACTTATAGATAAAAGAGAAAACTATATATTATTAATTTTATATAGATTAATCAATTATACAC